GGTCTTATCGATGGAATAGGTTCGATAACAAAAACATTATTCGGAATTATGGACGCGAACGATAGAAAATTAATAAATGAACAGATACAGCTATTACGAAATAACCAACAAACGCTGGAACACGCCAGCAAAAAATCAAATTAAAGTTTTGAACACAACAATAATTCATCTAAATAAATTAGAAAATATATTAGATTATAACGGTAAACTAATGAACCATTTCATTAGGGAATATACCACGCGCGAAGAAATAGACGAACACTTTACCATAATCATAGCAATGATAAACGATTTAATTAGGGATGCGAAAGATATTCTAGAATATCTTACATATATACGTAAGGGAACAATACATCCTTTGTTAACTCCAATAAATGAAATTATTCTATATTTAGAAGAAGCAGTACTACAGTTACCGCAAGGAACATATTTTCCTTTCCAAATAAAAATCGACGAATGGCAAACAATCGAAAAATTCATGAAAGTAAGCGCGTATTGCGAAAAAACAAACATATACACAATTCTGAAATTTCCATTGATCAAACAACCAGTATTTAACGTCTTAAACGTAATTCCATTACCCATACCTAACTACGAAAATAATTTTATATATACAGAAGTAGTTAATAAGTTGATTGCTGTAAACAAAGAAACACGTACCTATATAATTCTAAAGGAACAAGATTTAAACAAATGTACGAATAATAATGATTTATTTATATGCGAAAAAATTCAACCAGTATACCATGTAAATGAAAATACACCGTGTGAAACGAAAATTTATGTACAAAACTATCGCAATCAATGTAACATAGGTCATAAGAAAGTGACCAGCGCAATATGGATCACATTACAACAGCCGCACTCCTGGCTATATTCGACACCGGTCGAACAACATGTTACGATAAAATGTAATAATCATCCTGAATATAAAAGAATAATCAAACACACAGGCCGGATCACACTACATGATAACTGTAAACTAACGACTACAGACATGACAATAGAAACAGAAACGATTACTTATAATACAAGTATAGAAACATTTTTACCAGAGTTTAATATAACAACCTCAGAAATTAACGACACACAGAACCACGAATACGAATTCAAAAAAATAATTAATAATCCACTAGAATTAAAAGGATTAAAAAACAAATTAGAAGAAATTAATAATGACTTAAATAATGACGACAGTAACTTTTTTAAACAAAAACAATTCATCTATACAACAACCTTCAGCGGATCTATTTTAACCATTATAGGATTAATAGCATGGATAATTATCCAACATAGAAAAAAGAAACCTCAACAACCAGCTGTTATTACATTAGTAGATGAAATTGATAAATCATACGGAATGCCCAAACCAATATTAAAAAGAAATAAAAGCACACGATTTTAAAAATAAAAGGGTATGATAACCCAGGTAGCACATGTTCGTTTTATATACGTTTCTTAAACGTATTCAATATTTTTTAACCGTAATGTATAAATAAGAAACGTTTCTATAGAAACGTTTTTAAAATCATAGTTAAAGAAACGTATGTTTCACGTTTCTATGGACATAATAAAAACTAATTTTTAATTCATTTCAAATTAATTTTAAATTATGTATATATATATATATATATATATATATATATATATATATATATACAATAATTATGAAAACTATATATTAATTTCTATTTCCAAATATATGAATATTCCTTTTTTTAAATATATTATTTATTAATTATATTAATTATAATTCAATTATTTTAATTAGATTAAAATATATACATTCATATTTCAGATTTTATGGTAACAGCAACTCTCTCTCTCTCTCTCTCCCTCTCTCTCTCTCTCTCTCTCTCACTCTCTTTCTCTTTCTCTCTCTCACACTCATTCTCTCTCTTTTTCACTTTCCTCGTTGTCTTATTGCAAGATATTCCACTATCTTCCGCTTATAGTAAGTGTTTGCAACGATCATAAAATCTTCGTTGCTGTTTAAAGAATATATAGTGCTTGTAAACATTGTAAATAGTAAGTAAACTATGGAATACTTTGAGTGAAATACGGAAAAGTGTTAAAAAGAGCAGTGAGGTTATAATCGATTCACGTGTTAGATCATAACACATATAGGTTATGTTGATTAGAAAACACCGACTACACAGTGAAATCCGTAGAAAGTACAAAGTATTAATTAATATAACATACACACGGATATATATATATATATACATATATATATATATATATATATATATATATTTTATTACACTTCTGTAACAAATAAGGTAAGTTATATATGATTTAATAATATATTTGATGAATGAGTTAAATTACGTAATTTCATGATATATTTCTATATACATACAAAAAACACATTTTTTAATGACAATGAGATGTGAATTAAATATCATTTTACATGTAATATATTTTACATTTAATAAGAAAATATCAATTTGCGTGTAATATCTGATTGACATTTCACATTTTCTACTATGTAGGGATATATTAAAAACTTTTACAATATTATATATTATTAATATTATATATGTAATATTATATATGAATATTATATTTTAATATTATATATTATTCAAATTATTTTACAAAATTATATATTATTCTTTTGTTCCTTAATTATAATGCTTGTAATTAATGTTTCCAGGAAATAATATATCCAGAATATAAGTATTTGGCCGTATATTATACATATATACATATTATTAGATACATTATATAATATTATATACATTATATACATATATATTATATTTTAACTCATTTAAAAAATAATAGAAAAAATTCTCAATTGTTTTTAAATATGAATATAATAAAAGAAACTAAATTTCTTAGTAAAAAGCAAACAAAAAGAAATATACAAAACCAAGTCCAGGAATTATTAAATGAATTTAATCAGGCAAAATCAATATCATATTCAATTACCGATGAACCATCAACATCACATTCAGTTATCGATGCACATTTTGAATCAAACGTAGATCAAGATTCGGAATTGAATTTAGATCAAAGATATAATCAACAGAATAATGAATTCGAAGACAAGGAATTAACTCATAATAATGAATTAAAAAACAAGAAATTATTTAATGAAACCTCTAATATTACATGTGAGACATTTCAAGAACTATATGTCAGTGAAGAACATGATTCTTCAGAGTGTGAATCATTATCTGATGATTTCCTAAATAAATTGAGGAAGTGGGCTCTAACACATAACATTACACTATCAGCATTAGATGACTTATTGTCATTACTAAGTCCATATCACTATAATATACCTTTACCATTATCTGGAAGGTCTTTGTTATACACTCCAAGAACTACAAATTCAATTGATTTGCAAAATGGAAAATTTACTTATTTTGGTATATATGATCAGTTGCATCTTCTATTAGAGAAAGAACCATGCTCAAAAATAATTGATTTAGATTTTAATATTGACGGTTTACCCTTGTTTAAAAGTAATAGCACGGTTGTCTGGCCTATTCTTTGTAGATCATTAACTTTAATTTCATCAAATAAACTATTTATTGTAGGTTTATTCACTGGCCGAGGAAAGCCAGAACCTATTGACCTTTATTTACAAAATTTGATACACGAACTTAATAATATATTAAAGAATGGTATTGAAATAAGTCATAAATTATTTCAAATTAGAATTAGATCTTTGATTTGTGATGCTCCTGCACGAGCTTTTCTAAAATGCTGTGTAGGTCATAATTCTAGGCATGGATGTGAAAAATGCAATATTGAGGGAGAATATATTAATCATAAAATAATTTTTTCATATAAAAGCGGACAACTTAAATCAAAAGAAACTTTTATTGAACAAATACATGAAGAACATCATAAGGGAAGATCTCCATTATTGGATCTAAATGTAGATTTAGTGAGTCAATTTCCATTAGATCCTATGCATTTAGTATATTTAGGAATAATGAAAAAATTGCTGATATTATGGACATTAAAGGGGAAACCTCCTTTCAAATTATCTGGAAGAATCATTAATAATTTATCGGATAAATTAATTTCGTTACGTCCTTATATAGTTCGTGAATTTTCTCGAAAACCTAGACCTATATCGGACTTAAATCGATGGAAAGCAAATGAGTTTAGATTATTTTTATTATATATTGGTCCAATTTCTTTAATAAATATTTTGCCTAAACAACTTTATAATCATTTTTTAATGTTTCATGTTGGTATTACAATTTTGAGTAATGATAATCATATTTCTAAATATATTAATTTTGCAGAAGAAGTTTTGTATAATTTTGTAAAGTATTTTGAAAAATCTTATGGGAAAGAAGTAGTAACATATAATGTTCACAGTTTAATTCACTTAGTAACAGATGTGAGGAATTTTGGTAATTTAAATACAATTAGTTGCTTTCCCTTCGAAAATTATTTAGGAAAATTAAAAACACTTGTAAGATCATCCGCAAATCCTCATGCACAACTTTGTAGACGTATATTCGAATTATTTTATTGTTCAAAAACTGAATTATCAATAACTAAATTAGAGCCTAAGCAAAAACATTTTAAAGGACCTACACTTAGAGGTACAACTGATTTGATTTTACAGTACAAGAAATTGAAAACGCCGACATATATTTTGACAGTTTTTTCACCTGATAATTGTGTTTCAATGGAAGGAGATATCATTGTTCAGATAGTAAACATTCTGTGCTTGAAAGATCAATTTTATTCCTTAATTTGTCGTCGATTCCTAAAAGTTTCTGAGTTTTATGATTATCCATGTTCATCGAAATTATTGAACATTATTAAAGTGTCTCACATATCATCTAATATAGAAGAATTTCCTTTTACATCAGTAAAATATAAAAACATGTTATTGCCCGGAAATGAAAAAGGAACTTATATTGCCTTTCCTCTTCTTCATGAATTATAATACATTTATTAATCTTAATTAATTAATCTTTTTATTTTATTATATATATTATTGTATATATTTGTACTATGTATATGTATATATTATATATTATTTTTGGGCGAAAAGCAGTGTTAATTTTTTAAACAATGTAAGTTTATAAATTTGTTTAAAAAGATTTTCAAGCTAGAGAGAGATTTATAATCATATAAAAGCTTATATGTTTTATTTTATTTTATTGAAATTTAAAGTTAGTTTTTATAAAAAAATATTTCTGTGCAATATTGATTTTATATTTAAGAATTTTGACTTGACGAAATGGACTCATTTATTTTTTTACATTTTATTATTTTTTCAGATTATGTATTCACTAATAGAATTTGCAAATGAACAAAAACCTGAAGTTGAAGTGGTCCCTAATATTTGGTTAGAAAAAGAGAAGGAAATATGGTATTGTTTTTGGCCTCAAACAATTTCCACCAAACAAATTCGTAAGGCTATCGAAAAATGTTACTTACCGGACAAAAATTGGATAAAGTATAAATGCAGAATATTGCATACATATGGTAAATTTTTTGACTTTATTTTTTTATGAAAAAGTAAAAATATTTATACTTTTTCTTCATTTATACTGTTTATTATATCAATATTTAACATATATCGGAAATTTCATCTACGTATTTATTAAATCTCTTGTTTTTTTTCTCAATATATACTACATATTCCTCTTTTTTTTTATAATGTAATTTTATTATGTACTGTCGGAGATTAGTATTGTGTATATTTGCAATATACAATTTTTTTATAAAATATTTACGAGTATAATTTTCATTTTTTATTATACATGCTTTCAATTTTTGAATTGATGATATTGGATTTTACATTATTTAAAAAATTTATAATTTACTATTTCATTATTATTTTAGCTTCTTACGATGATGCGAGGAAAAAATTAGTAGATGCTGAATTTACATCTACTTTAGAAACTGATGTAGAATTGCAACCAACTATTGAATACCAACGGCCAAAAAGAAACGTGAAAAGACCTTTCCGACTTTGTTCGGATTCTTCAGATTCTTCAGAAATTGAAGAAACATCATGCAAAATCCCATCTCTTCCTACATTAAAAATAACACCTACAGAAAATAGTAATATTTTATCGAAAAAATCTATAATTACTTCATACAAACCATCAACATCGACAGCCGATATTAACAATTCTTCACAATATACATCTAATATTACAATTAGTCCTTCAAGATCTTTAGAAAGAATAATTAGTTTTCCACAGAATATAGAATTCAGAACTATCTCTCCTCCTACATTTAAAATAACATCTACAAAAAATAATATTTTATCGAAAAAACCTACAATTGCTTCATACAAACCATCAACATCGACAGCCGATATTGACAATTCTTCAAAATGTACATCTAATGTTGCAATTAGTCCTCCAAGATTTTCAGAAAGAGCAGTTAATTCTCCACAAAAAAAAGAATTCAGAACTACATTGACCACTTCAGAATTCCACAAATCAGGTAAGATATTAAACTTTTTTGTATGTACAAAATTATTGCAATAATATTAGTAATTATTAAAATTATCTATAGTTTAACAATAACTTTGCTCTTGAAATAATGTATAAAATAATATCCTGAATAATCTGCACTTGGATCTATATAAAAGTCGGTTCTCTTCAATAATTGTGCTTAAATTAATTAAGTATCAATTTTACGTATTGGTTGAATATTTATATACTATTCCCACGTACTGTGCAATACTTACCATTCAATTTCTCTATATTATATATTTTTTATATTACATTTTTTTATACTTCTACAGTCAGGAGCTACTCTTATGAAATTAAAAACTAGTTTACAATTCATACACACACACACACTTTCGAAATATATTAAAATAAAAATAATTTGACCGATAAAGAGAATAATAACAGTGAAAAAATAAATTAATTTTTCTATTTTTTAAAAGCTCTAATATAAAATGTTATTTCTAGACTTCCCTTATCTCATTCTAACAAAATTAATGAGCTTAGAAAATTCTATGAACTTGCTTCTTCCGATGGTCAAACAACTTGTATCACATTTTCAAAAATCAAAAATACCCCATATGGAAAATGTTCCTGAACTACCAGTTGACACCGATGAACATTTGGAAAATATGGAAAGATTTTTAGATACAAAACAAAATTTTGAATATATGGTAAATATAACTCATTAAGTCGCTTTTATAAATTTTCTCATTTTTTTTTCTCTTTTAATCTATTTTTTTATTAAATTAAGATTATCATTGTTCTTTTTAAGATGAATATTTTATCTGTATCTGGTGGTACAACGATTGTACAGATAACAAGAAGAACATTAGAAAAAGTAATAACAAATAATTATGCTAAGAAATTTAATTGGGCAGGAAGAGCACCTAAAAAAGCGTTCAAAGCTTTAAAAATAAAAGATTTGATTATAGGTTTGTACTTGTTTTAAGCATTCAGTCAGCATTAATAATATTTACTAAATGTGTTTATTATATGCCTATACAGCATAGAATATTGTAGCAATATTATTAATATTGTTACAACGCTGCAATATTGCCACAATACTGCTGCCAATATTCTATAATATTCTATAATATATAATATTGTATAACTACTGTGTAATTATAAGATACTATATACTATATAATAAATAAATACTATATAATAAATAATTATAATATACTATAATAATACTATTATATATTTTGTATAATTTTCAGCTACCGTAAGACATGTTGAACCAAATGCTGCAATAAACACAATTGAAAATTCTATCAAAGATTGGTTGAAGTTGTCATCTACTCGTGTCGCTTTAGCAGAAATTAGGGCATTAAAGACATTTCAGCAACAATAATGAACTGAAAAAAGCAACAATAATGGACTGAAAAAAAGATTCATCAGATCTCAAAATACTCATAATAACCTCATAATATCCTAGCTATGTTATGTTGAGATTTAATTATAAGTACAGAAAAAATAATTTATGTTATGTTGAGATTTAATTATAAGTACAGAAAAAGTAATTTATGTTATGTTGAGATTTAATTATAAGTACAGAAAAAATAATTTATATTTATGAAAAAACTAAAATATTTATGTTAATTTTATAAAATTTTATTTGTTTTAATTTTTTAATTTAATTTTATATCATTAAATATCTTAATTAATTAATTTTTTTATACACAATTTTACACACATTTTAATTTGTTGATAAATATAATTATAATGTTTAGTTTTTTTTTAGAATTTAATTTAGTCACATAAATCTAAGAATTCCATTAATGAAAATTACTTATTAAAAATTTATTTAAATACTTTATGTGATATTCAATTGTAACACTTTTTATTATAACGTTGCAGAAAATATATTATTTAATTTCAAATTAAAGTCAAATAAATTATTGCATTTATATGACTATATATATATATATATATATATATATATATATATATATATATATATATAAAGGAAAAAGAAACATTTTTTTCTTTTATTCGTGAAAAGTTTTTTTTTTATGGAATTAATAAAATAATGCATTTATATACACACATATACATACACATTTGTTTAATGAAATTATATAAATCATTAATATATATATGTGTGTGTGTATGTATATTAATGATTTATTTAATTTCATTTAAAAAATGTGTGTGTATGTGTGTATTAATGCATTATTTTATTAATTCCATGAGAAAACAAACTTTTCATGAATAAAAGAAGAGAACGTATTTTAACCGTTTTTTAAACGTTTTTTTTTGCCAAACAAGAAACGTATCTCTTAACGTTTCTTGAGTGGACATTTTAACCAATCAAAAACGTTTGCAAGAGTCGGTTATGAAACGTTTCGAAGAAACATTTGAGAAACGTTTTTGAAACGATTATGTGCTACCTGGGAATAAACTAGAAATAAAAACGATTATAATAAACATTGTACACGGGAAATATATTGTAATTAAAATATGGATAAGTATACGTACATTTAAGAGATAGAAAAACTTCGTTCACAACCTCCGTTTTTCTTTTTTAACGGGGGACGGATGTTATAGCCCGAGAGACTATAACTTATTTTAGTAATTATATAAAACATTCGCGAATATCGTAAAGAACATTCGCGAGCCGCGCCAAGAACCGCTAACTCAGCGAACTACCGTCGCTCACCGGAAACGCGAAAGACGCTAACGAAGGAATTCGACTTTGAACTTCCTTCGCTTGCATTTTGATTATGAACGCCACAGAAAACCCCATGACCATATATGGTCATGTTGCCAGGCGATCCCCTCCAAAAAACCCTTCAAAACAGAGGGAATAAAAGCCGTCCACCGCAAATCCGCGGCGGACAGTCACAAGCAATAAATCAATCACTAAAGTAGTGCCGAGTGCTAAACCGTTAAAATTGTGCAACGAAGACACCCAAAGAAATTGTAAACGCTCTAAATCTATTTACGAACGATTCGAGGAAAGGACAACGAAGAGAAGGCTCGAAAGAAACTGATAAGAATAGAAGATATTAAGCGAATATATATTTGTAAACTAAAAATACAATAAAAACGCTAAAGGATAATACGGTTCTATTTTATACTCCCGGCTACCCCACACCCCGTGCCCCGCCGGGCACGACATTATATTTCTGACAGAAATTCAATTACGAGAAAGTACAGCTCACGTAGCGGTAAGTGAAGAAACTATCGAATCATGCAAACCCTGTTCCATTTCTGCCATCAATCTGCTATCAGAGATTATATGCGCAGATCCTGCTCGATTTTTGCCGACAATCTGTTGTCAAATTGCATCGCACAGATCCTGTTCAATTTCTGCCATCAATCTGCCACTAAGTTATGCCGGCAGAATCTGTTCGATTTTTGCTGCCAATCTGATAAATGATTATGTTAACAAGCTTTGTTATATTTCTGTTGACATTCTGCTGACATCACATGATATATCAGAACCTGCATCGATTCTGTAATCTTTCTGTCGACAACAATTTGTAAAATTCCCTGACAAGATCTGCATTAGCAGACTTGGCTATTGGGGATATAAATAAAATAAAATTTTTAATATAATAAATATTTAGTAAATATAAATAAAATTTTTAATTTCATATATATATATTTATTTATATTTATATTTATTTATTTATTTCTATATTTATTATATTTATATTATATTTATGAAATAGATAGAGAGATGAATTGTATTTTAATATTAGTGGCAATAACGAAAGAAATATTACTGAGATATTACTGATTGGAATAGTCAAAATTATTAACTGATTCTTTCAATAAAATATCACTGATTTAGGCCCGATTTCACCAACCGCGTTTAATTTTAATCTTAGTTCAATTCACTCTTTGTCTCTTTCTAAAGGAAGAATTAAAAGGAGATAAAGAGTGAGTTAAACTAAGATTAAAGTTAAACGCTGTTGATGAAATCGGGCATTAGAGTGCTGTAGTTATAACTGCTGTAATCAGTGACTAATCATTTACTGTTTTTTAGTGATAATGCACTGATTCACTTTCAGACAATGCTTTATTCGACAACATTGTTAAATATATTATTATGCTAAGAAAAAGACGTCAAAATATGGTACATTTTATGATATCAAAATGCGGTACATGTTATGACGTCAAGAATCTGTGACATTAGAGGTGTGTTCGAGGAAACGTTATTAGTGCTACGAAACGCCAATGCTAATAGTGCCGTTCTGAGAGTTATTGTGGCGCTCACGGCTATAAGCTGCTAGAACGTACTTTTTATGTTTTGTGAGCGTTAAGGCCGCAGCACACACTTTTACATAACGCATAATGCATAAAGCATAAGGAAATCAACCAATCAGAGTCCTTCATTTCCATCCTTCCTTCTCATTCTGCGGATCTCACATAATGCACAAAGCATAATGCATAAATAGTCGAAAAATCCGTAAAGATGAATTCTTACGTGCAAGCAGATTTCAAGAAACTACTGTCTTATGTGCTAATTTTTCTAACCTATTTTAGAAGATTTCATCTAGCAAAGGAGATTTCATTTAGCAAATCTAAAAAGAAAAATAATATTGGTTAGTATTACAAAGTCTTAATTTTATAAATATTTTTCATATTTATATATATTTTGATATTTATTTTAAATCAAATTAATTATGAATATTTTATATACCATTAGGTTATTGAAATGGATCATAGTTTTTATTTTTATGATTCTCAATATCAAAATGATTTTAATGAATTAAATAATGAAGATGATTCACAAAATGAAAAGGAGAATTCTTATGGAATAGATCAAAATGGAATAGATGGAGATGCTTTGCTCATATCTTTAGTGCGCAACTATCCCTATTTATATAATAAAGAGTTAACTGACTTCAAAGATATTATTAAAAAGCAGAATGCCTGGACAGAAATAGGAAATATATTAAATATGACAGGTACATAATATTTTTTTACATTTGTTTTATTTTTATAAATTTATAAGTCTTTTAACAGAATGAATGATATATAATTTTAAGATGTTTTTTGTTCAGTGGTAGTTTTGTCTTCTGTAATAAATCTTGTGTTTCAAATCTTAAATAAAAATTGTTACGGAAACAATTTGCAAGAAATAATATATAAAAACACATAAAAGTATCTGCTACAATTAGTAATAATAGATTAATAATAAGAAATAAATATTGAAAAAAACATTATTATAAAATTAAAAACATGTTCCATGTTTGAGTATCAAAACTTGAGACCTTACTAATTTTACTAAGGTTTTATAGATTATAAGCAATTTAATGTCATTTTCATTGCTAGCGGACGAGTGTCAATCTAGGTGGACACGATTAAGAGAACGATATGCAAGAGAGAAAAAGCAAAAACAGGAAGAAACAACTACTGGAAGTGGTGCTTCAAAGAGGAAGTCTTTCGAATTTTTTGAAAATATGCAATTCTTAGAACGATTTGTTAAGAGAAGAAGGTAATAATAATAATAAAATTTGAAAAAATCTATATTGAATAAATAATAAAAAGTATTTTTAGTTTAATTGTAAGACAAAAAAATACTTTATGACTATATTTTATATTCTTCTTACAATAGCATTTTTTGTATAATATAAGCGATTTTTGATTACTTTTTCCTTTTTTAGAACAATATCCAATGTGTATAAGAAAAACATACCTCCATCAACAAAATGTATCAATCTTCAAAAGTGTGTAAAATATTAATTCTAATATTTATTTAAAATGCAAAGCGCTTCTATATCAGGAATAACATTACAATTTTCTATTATAGAAATTTTGGTTCACGTGGCGGAGAAAACTCAACTTCTTCAATGATCGAGTCTACTTTCATTTTACCATCTTCAAAAGATAGCAGTGAAAAAACAAATCTATCTTCAAAAGATAGCAGTGAAAAAACAGATTCAGAAAAAAATATAATTAAAATAGATTTAACTGAAAATAGATTTAATGAAAAACAAATCAATAAATCTCCTATACCTAATAGTTTAGTTCAGCAATCTTTAACAAAAGATACAGATTTGACACATAATATAAAGTAAATATTTCCATTTATTTTGTTAGTTTGCCATAACTTTCATTTATCCTAATATTATTAATATTATTTGGCGCAAATTATATACATGCGCATACAGACAAAGATTTATATGTTTAAAACGCTTTATATTTTTTAGAGATTCAGATGATTGCTCAAATAATACCTCTTCATCAGTATTAAATATTTCTAATGATTTGAGGAAGAAAAATTTTACTGTACAACGAAAAATCAAAGGAAAATCACCGGACGTCATAGAAAATGCTATTTGTAAAGTTTCATCTCTATTAGAGAACAAATTCATTCCAACAGCTGCATCATCATCATCAATATTAAATCTAGAAATAACAGAAAATATGGCTTTTTGCCAATTAATATTATCTTCACTTAACGCGATGTCTCCACAAAAAAATGCAGAGAAAAAAAAAGAAATGCTACGTATTATATACGATATTTAAAATCTAAAATCTTAATAGAACCCCGATTATTCAGACGATTAGTTATCCAAGTTTGCTGCAAAAGATTTTGTTTACGATTTTTTTCTTGTTATGATTATGATATAATAAATAGTAAATACATATATAATTTATTTCAGGACGTTCTATTTTTCGGATAATCGGTGTTCTGTATATCACTGTGATACTGATGTAATACTGATGACGCTGTGATGTATTACTACACACTGTGATATTTAAAATACACTATATTTTTTATTATAAAAAAGAATTAATACTTTTATTTATTAGTATTTTTATTATAAAAAAATTATATTCTTTAATAATACTGCCAGTTACAAATTTTAAAATGTACTACTTATAATTTTCTTTTTTCATACATTAAATGTTAAAAAGAATCGACATTAATGTATTATTCATATTTTTATTTATATTATGAGCTTAATTACATATAGATAAGTATATCCGGGAATTAAGCTTTACTTTCACTGCAATTTTTTGCTTCTTTGTAAAAGTTTATTATATGTTACTTTTTCTTTTATTATAATGATATTAAAAGTACAAAATAAAACAATATTTTACAACATTTTTATAATTTTGTTATCTTGATGAACACATTTTTTTGTATATCCAAACAGCACCGAGTCGACTATTAGTCGGCTGTCAGTCGGCAAAAGGTATATTATATATTTTAAATATATAATATACATTATACATTGACAGCAAAAGCCATTTTTTTCATCTGTAATAAATAAAAACAATATTTTTATATATTTTTATATATTATATAATACATTTATTATTTTTCAATTTCTTCAATTTATTTTTTTTTTCTAAATATTAACATTAGCTTACTGTTATAGGCTTTAATTTGTATAATTACAATTAATTAATGTAATATTAATGTATTTCGATTCCACAATCTTCAAAAGATAGCAACAATATAGAAAAAAGTTCCAGGAAAAAATATATTTAAAATAAGCGCAATATATACGTATACAACTTTAATTGAAATTACCATGAATTATCGTGATGTATCCCTCTTCTTACAACTTCATACTGCCATGGAATTTCACCAGGTGGTGCCATGAAATAATTAGCAAGTTTATCTCGTTGTTGATATGCAACTATTGTACTATGATGCGTTGAAGTGGGAAGAATGTCTGTGAATGCACCTTGAACGTTTCGTCGCCATTCTCCGGGAATGATATTTCCTGTCACATTTTCAGAGTCCACAAAATTAGCAGGACAATATATTCTTTTCCCTACTTCAATAAGATTTTCCTCGGATTTTATGAAGTTGTGCAGGCATACTGTTGCCATGACAACTGTATCCACATATTTAGGATGCATATTAATTGGTTTTCGATATATTCTCCAACGTGAAGCCAAAATGCCAAAAGTATTTTCGATAGTACGTCTTGCTCTAGATAATCTGAAAATTAATAAAATGTGTAATAAAATTAAGATAAATACGAGTAACATACATACATCTTTGGAAGTTTTCCAGCAAAACATTATGTAAAACATTATGTCCCTAACAGTACATGTAGATACTGAGAATGTTCGAAGAATATCGCAAAAGTACAATGCATATATTCTTAGAACATTCGAGATACATACTATGATATACTAAGTATATACTAAGAATTCTCTAATGTCCGCCTATTTTGATTCATAGCAAATACTGAGAATATCTTGTAGTGTATACTAGAGATATCTATAGAATGTTAACGGTATATCTCATGTATGTATTATATATATATATATATATATATATATATATATATATATATATATATACAGGGTGAGGCATCTAAAACAGGCCACCTGAATAACTCCGTTGGTAAGCCGAATACAAAAAAATTGTTCAGACAAAAGTTGTATGGTTTCAAGGGGGACATATGATGGTGTCATTAGTTTAATCTTGAAGAGCCACTCGAAGGTCACGTGAAGGTCAGCTCCAACTTTTTAAATGGGACACCTTATATGCTTTTGCATATTCTTGTAGCTCATCTCAAGAGCTTTCCAAAACACTACAATTATGTTAGTTTTCATTGAGTACTTTCCAAGTTATGAGGCTTGAAATCATTTTTTAATTTTACATAAACCGTAAAATATCTTGTAAAATATTCATTTTTCGATTATTTTACCTTAATACTTTTATGTACAAAATAATGAGAGAAATCAATCGGTGTAAAGAAAACATACAGTTGTTTTTAACAAAAAATATGGAATTGTTAATTGCAAATTCCATATTTTTTCTTAGAAACAACTATGTGTTTTCTTTACACCAATTGATTCCTCTCATTATTTTGTACATAAAAGTATCAAGGTAAGATAATCGAAAAATGAATGGTTTACTAGATATTTTACGGTTTATGTAAAATTAAAAAATGATTTCAAGCCTCATAACTTGGAAAGTACTCAATGAAAACTAACATAATTGTAGTGTTTTGGAAAGCTCTTGAGATGAGCTACAAGAATATGCAAAAGCATATAAGGTGTCCCATTTAAAAAGTTGGAGCTGACCTTCACGTGACCTTCGAGTGGCTCTTCAAGATTAAACTAATGACACCATCATATGTCCCCCTTGAAACCATACAACTTTTGTCTGAACAATTTTTTTGTATTCGGCTTACCAACGGAGTTATTCAGGTGGCCTGTTTTAGATGCCTCACCCTGTATATATATATATATATATAAACAGTTTGTCTTAATTTACTATAATGAAAATAATATGTTTGTAATTAATTGTCCTACGAATGAGATATATATATATATATATATATATATATATATATATATCATTCGTGAGACAATTAATTACAAACATATTATTTTCATTATAGTAAATAAAGACATACCGTTTTTACACAAAAGCTAGCGATTGTACTTATAATTATGATACATTTTAAAATAAAGTGAGATAGGAATTAATTAAAATGTATTAAATTTATTAAATAATGCTTTATCACACATTGTACATTTGGCATTTTATAATATTTCATTTAAATAGTTTTTATCCGTATAATCACTGTAATAAATTTTTATAGATTATGTGATTTAGTGATTTATTTTTTTTAAATTATTTGAATTTTCTTATTAATTACTATCATTTCGCAAAATTAAAAAATGCTTAATATTAAAGGAATTTAAAAATTAATATAAATATTTATATTAAGATAACTCAAATTAATATTCATTACATATGTAACAACAAGAACAAATATATGTTATATATTTGTTAATCTAAGTAACAAATGTGTCAACATAACTTATGATAGACGTTTTGTCAGCAATGAAAAATCACAACACACTTATTACAAACGATCCATTGTCGCAGAGTATGTGTATAACAATGCATTTACATTTTGCATATTTATTATTATTAATTATTATTAATCATTTATCATATTTAGAACTAAAAATTATTTAGAACTAAAAATACATTTAAAAAAATTATTATTTATTCCAAAGAAAGAAAGTATTGCAAATCAAAAGAAAGTATTGCACAAAATATTAATTTGGTTTATAAAACTAAAAATATATTAAAAAACAATCTTCAAGAAGAAACAATTCCAGCTTCTTAATCTATTGTATTTTGATGTTCTTTCTCTCTTTCCATACGTTCTTTTGCGTGGGCCAGCCATATTTTTATTGGAGAGGAAATTTGTTCATCTGTTGCATTTTCATATATTTTTCTTATTACACCTAAAAAAATATATTTTTAAAAATTATCTGTTTATTAATAAATTTTAAAACAAATTTCATTTAATAACTCTAATTTAGAATATATAAGTTAAAATAATTAAGAAATGCTTGTACACTTTCTTTGTACTATATGAAAAGAGAATGTTTAAAACATCAACATTTGTATAACTACTTTCTTGTTATTTGATAAAATTACTGGATACTTGTGAAATAATTTTTAATTTTTAAGAAATCATTATTTTATTAATAGAATAATAATAAAATAGATTGTTTTTGAATTTACTTTACTTACACATGATCACTATGCAGATTTGTAGCTGCGAAAATTTTTCTTTTTTTTTTGCCCCATACCAGCTGTAATGTACTGCCAAATCGTTGGAAAAAATTTTTCTCATCAAATGTGTACACGAAGTCTTTATATCTTTACATGTAACACGAGTCAATTGTTTAATCTGAAATTGTTATAAAAAGTTATTATATTGTTATAAAAAGGCATTATAAAAATTTTATTAAACTATCATATTTGTTTGATAATATGTACAAAAATAATATGCTCTCAAGTACTATTCTACATAAAATTACTGTACATATTGGTATAAAACTTATCTATCAATAATTATTTTTGAAACATATTAGCTACATCTATATAATTTAATATTTTTATATAATTATTTTTTAAAATTCTTTATATAAAGTAATCCTCAACAAAGATGTCAATTTAAAATTTGAAAAGCAATTGTAAAATTTTTAATAAATATAAACGTTTAATAAATTGTATGAAAATATTCGATCAACATTCAATAATAAATTAATGTAAAAACTTCTTTATAAAATCATTAAAAAAGCTTGTTGAATATATATCTACTGTTCTCAAAAAATTATGTACATTAAATAGATTAGTTTATGTTAAATAATGTAGCAGATAATAAATTTAGTAATTTTATTATAACGAGAATTTATGTAACATTCAAAAAATATAATACAATACATAAAATTTTCTAACGACAATTTAAACTAATATTTTTACTAAAAATTGTATTTTCCATCAGATTGTTACTTTTTTCAAAAATATTTTTTTTGTTCAGAAAAAGATCAAAATAATAATATGGGCTTACCATTTGACTTCGATAACTTTTATCATTAATTAGTTTTGCTTCGATTACGTCAAGATCATTTTTATTTTGCAATGGCAAGTCTTGAAAAATGTCTACAACATTTTCTTTTTCTTCAAAATTAGTAATTGGAAGTTTTTCTATAATAAGCTTTAGATGTCTTTCAATAGAATTATTTTTTAATTCCAAACTTATCAACTTTCCAACAACAAAACGTCGAAAATTTTTAGTTTCTGTAAAATATTAAAAATTTGTTGTATTCATATACTATATTTGTATATAATTTTGTATCTCGACACTTGTAACGCGTTGACGCGTCCTGTGTGCAGAAGCTCTTTAATGAAAATTAAAGAAATTTAATTCATTACAGAATTCACTGTTTAATGTTCAATATATGCAATCAAATGTACATTGGATACAATATGAAGTCTTCTGTAATGGATTATATTCTATAAAGTAAATTGTAAAATTAAACATTAAATACAATTAATATATTACCTTGATTACAATTGAAACTCGAATCAAGCTTTGCTTGTTGGATTGGCATACTTGCTGTTTCAGTAAAGTTAGCGGATTCAAAATCCTTTGTAAATGATTGTTCTGTGTCTGATGCATAAAGTAAATCTTCAGTGTCATTTTGTACATCTAGAACAAAATAATTTTTTTTATTATAACATTTTAATACACTTTTAATATTAATTAGCATCAATATATAGGCACTTTTAAGTTTTGTATTATTATTTATAATCAAACATAATATGCAATAATATCACAAAACAGACTCAATTAATATAAACCAAATATTTATATTAGATACATTATATTAATCTGTTTTATTAATATTCCACTTTATTAATATTCCAAATTATATTAAGTTATAGTTATTTTATATAAAGGTATAAAAAATATTTTTAATTAGATGTACATATACATACATATACATATCTTTTGAGTTAGTGCAATACGTAAGCTAATGTTAATTTTTTTTGTTTTTATATTGTAATTCAAACGAGATACGTTTTATTTTATATTTTTAGATAAAAACATATACTTAGAAAAATTTTCCTATGATTTTATATTTAATTTATCTCGTTCTATGTATTCTTTTGTGGAGTTGTTTATATAATTACATCCATAATTTAGAAACCACAGTGTTTTATTATTAACCTTTTTTTTTTCATAATTTATTACTATTTACTCCATTAATATTACTTTATTATATTTTTACCTGTTTGTGAAAATGTTGCATTTTTTGTTTTAGTAGTACATGTTTGTTTTTCAATACAGTTATTTTTCAATGCAGTTATTGCACGTTTTTCAGGGACTTTTGGGAGTTCCGAAATAAGTGAAGAATCCGATTGTTCATCGCTACTCGTATCTTTATCAAAAATTTTAGCAGCTCTGACTTTTCTAGATTTTTTTAAAGATTCATTTCTATCAGTATCAGAATTTATATCAGATAACGCTTCAGCATCTTTTAATTTTTTCCTTGCTACTGCATAATTTACTGAAAAAGAAATAATATATATTTTAATAGAAATGTTATTTTACTGTATAATTCAAAAATATCTATACATACATATATATATAATGATAAATTAAATATTTGACAAGACACTTACAAAACTTTCCATATATTTTACAGATTGGATGCTCTAACCAAGTAGATAATGGTTCTTCCATAAATTTTACAGCCTTGTAATATCGTTTATTATTTGTGAAGGTTGGCCAAACAGCCTTTGTTAAATCTTCATTCAACCAATTATCAGGTATCACTTGCAAACCATCTTCAAACTCAACAACTGCGTAATACTTTCTTTCTGTCATTCTGCATAATTAGAAAAGTCATTTACATTTTGCAATGTATGAGTGGAAAAACTGCATATTTATCATCTCCGCAAGGCAACTGTACATATTTTTTAACTATATTTTTTAATGGCCATGATCTTAAATCAGAGCGTAAATGTACAGAATAAATGTCAAGCATAGAAGATGCACAAGGAACAGTAAATAAGTCTTCTTTTTCCAAAAATTTGTAGCCAATAATTATAGGAATATTTCGCCGTGTGCAGTATGCCACATTTTTAATACAAACAATTGCACCACAATTTAAGCCGCAACAACTATCTGCAAGTGTTCCAACTTTAAATGTAAATCCATTATATTTCACAATTTTATATTGTGGATTGCGGCAATTCAATATAAGAGGACCATCATAATGCAACGATGTCAAAAATGGATATATTCGAACAGAATCTGATAAAGCAGATGATGTGCATAAATTCACTTTTTTCTCAACGTATCTTCGCACAACTTGTTGCAAAGGTTTCTCTGCTTTTCTCAAATATTTTTTTAATATCTGCATGTAATTTTCAAATTTAAAGGCACTAAAGTTATCAACAGGTCCAAATCTCTTGACATCATCCACAAGATGAATAAGGCTGTGAACATTATGTGATATGTTTTGAATTCCGTACAGTTTTATAAATGTTTTGATAAAAAAATGAATAAGATCTTGTGCATATGTTAGATATTCATGTAAATCTTCTGAAGATAAGATTCTCATAATCACGTGTAATGTAATAAAATGTATATACACATTTTTTTTTAATGCTGATTTAAATGCCAATGGACCTGTATATAATAATATTAATCTATATTCCGTTGCTTTCCATAATTTTAGACAATCCAATTTTCGTGGTTTTCGTGCAAATTCCATAGGTATTGATGGTTTTAATTGAGTTATTAAATGTGTAGAAATGTTGTCAACGATTCTATGTTGTAATCGAAAATGTAATTCTCCATCAAGCCATAAATATAATAATTTACGCATGATTCCCAAACATATTAAGTGCATATAATCCAATGGAACATGTGTAACAGGTTTGAAGTGAGGTATATTTAAGAGGCTGCACGTTATATTTGGCTTGTGATAATTATCATCTATTTTTTGTATGAAGTTATCATCTGATCTAAGTGGTGCATCAATTTGTGGAAAACACAGTCGGGTTCCTATATATTCTCCTTCCTTCGTACAACTTGAATACCCAGAATGCCCTTTTACACCCAAAACAAATGCTTTCGCTGGTGTATCACAAATCAAAGCTGCAATTCTACACTGTATGTTTCGACCGTTGACGAAAATTCCATTTGTACATATTTCTGTAGCTTCGTTAACAAAATCTTGTAAAAATTCATTGGCATCCATCGGTTTTTCATTGCCATGATAAATTCCAATTATAAATACGTTATCATATGAAAAAACTGAACCTAATATAGGCCAAAATTGTTGTTGGGACGATTTTGATAATGGCAGCCCATCAATGTTCACAGCTATTTTAACGCAACTAATATTATCCTTTACAAATGTTAATATTTCTTTTATAGAATTTGATAGTCCAAAATGATAATATGATCCTGGTACAACTGTACGTATTTCTTGTTGTCTTGGTGTTTTTAAAAGCGATCGTGCATCTAATGATAATCTTGAAAAACAAGAGTGTTTCTTTAATTTCTGCAGCAATGCTTTTAAAGCAGTATGTGTAATTTGATGTTCAACAGCCCAGATAGCAAGATTATGTTGCAAATTGCTACTTGTAATTTCAAATCTTATATCATTTGGTTCATTATAAGAAAAATTAACAGGAGATTCTTCTGAATCTGATATATCGTATTCATCCGATTGTCTGAGCGTGTTATCATTTTCACAATGTACAAGTATTTCATTATTTTCATTCGATTCCGTATTTTGTTCGATATTAATTTTAAATTTTGTTGTACAATCGTTGTTCAAATCTGTTGTACACTCATTATTCATATTAACACATGATGACGAGCTTTCGTCGAAACATAACAAAATATCAGAAATAATTTCGGATTCTTGTGCAGCTAATCTTTTTAAGTGCCGATTTGATACACACGATGTATCTTTTTTTTTACGTTTTCCATATGTTTCCATTTTAATAAATGTTTTATCTGTACTATAAATGTTTTATCTGTATATAGTTATGATTACAATATAGTTATAATTATAAACAGACCAAAGAGTTTTAAATTTAACTCAAAATGATTTGATTCTTAAAACTTGCAAAAAGTTGTCTAATATAAAAAGTTTGTAATAAAGAAAAATTATCAATCGAAAATATTACATAAAAACAGAATCATGATAATATGGACACAAATTTTAAATAATATTTTAAATAAGATAAGATTGTTCGTGTTCCGGATCGGTTATAAAGTATCCGATGTGCGAGATAAGCAAGTGCAAGTAACAAAATATAATGAAAAATGTACTAATTATTGAAGGAACTAACTTCAATTAATATCTTTTCATAGTTTAATAATTTCTTTGAAATAAAATTCTTTTTTTATAGTTACAATGTTTATCAAGTAATAACTTTTATTTTAAATTATAATATAAAATATCAGCAAATTAGAATTATGTTTTGATATTATAAAACATATTAAAGTAAAAATTGTATATATAATAAATATAAGATAAAATAGATAATATCAGATAAAATACAGATAAAATGTCATTTTATGAAAAAATTAAATAAATAACATTAAGAAAGTAATTACCTGAATCGGTGGAATCGGAGAATTCCTTTTCAATATGTTAAGACGTATAACACGTCTGTAAATTTATTACAGCAGGGCTGCTGTGTCAGTAATGCGAATGATAAGCTGCTCTTATAATCTATAAGCCTGTAAAAAAAAGAATATACCAATCATAAATACTTTTCTCATAAATTATTTAATGTGCAAACAGAAATAAAAAATACGTCTAAACATATTTTCAAAAATTGTTTTATTGTTATTATTATTTGTTAGAAAGTTAAATAAATAACCTCTTAAAAAAATAATTACCTGAATTGATGGAATCGGAGAATTCCTTTCCAATATATTAAGACGTATAACACGTCTGTGACTTTATTACAGCAGGTCTGCTGTGTCAGTAATGCGATCAATACGCTACTCTTATAATCTATTAGCCTGTAAAAAAAACAATACACCAATCATAAATACTTTTCTCATAAATTATTCAATATGCAAAAAGAAATAAAAAGATATATCTGAATATATTTTTAGAAATTGTTTTAGAAATTATAATTATAGAAATAATTATTATATTATGTCTTTTTACTATATAATTTTAAAAGAATTACTTTGGATTAATCTAATGAGTAGGACATAAGAATATGTCTATTGGCAAAAGATAACCTTAAATTTGTTAATAACACAATTTTTTCGTTAAATAGAGAATATTTATAAAAAATATTGTAAAAATATATCCAAATAAGGTATCTTTAGAAATTATATTTTATATGTTTATAAGATTATTATAGAAAAATAAATAATTACCTCGGATTAAAATCACATTTGCGACACATGGCACAAAGAATATGCAAGGAGCATGAGAAGAGTTGAAAGACGCCGTAAGAGTTCGACACCAGCAACCAGCAACATAGATGCCAGTTTCGGCCCGCTGCACGCTACGCACACAAAGAAAGAACCGTGTACGTGTGGCGCTCGGCGGCGATGAGTGGCTGTAATTATGTATACAATATGGCGTATGTAATCATATCCGCTATAATGATTTAATTTATATATTCCAAGTATATTCTAAGAACATACGAAAAATATGTATGAACGATATATCATAGAGATGGTATAAGGATATTTTCAGTATGTTAGATTTAATCATAGAATAAATATGAAACTTAATTTTTATATTTTGTATATCCTCAGAACATACGACAAATAATAGACTACTGTAAAGCTGGTAAAAGATAGTAAAAATACATCCTGAATATATACAAAAAATAATATTTTAATAAAAGATATTCAAAATATATTCTGAGAATATACGAGAAATAATATACTACAAGAGATGTTATGAGAATGTTCTCAGTATATTACATCTGTAACGTATATTCACAGTATGAATATTCGAATAGAATATTCGAATGATATCATGTGCTGTTAGGGGTAACACAGTGTCCACTAGTGTGAGTGAGATACACTGATATATTCTCTTTCACATTAATTGCACAGTGTCTTGCAGAAAAGCTCTCATTGTCATTAGCATTATAATCTTATAACGATACTAATAGTAATAATAAATACATAAATTGCTTACCTGTAATTAAATATTTTTTTTCTTTCATCAAGTACTTTTCCGGCGTAAGGTCGCATCATAGTAGGACTTATTGGAAAACCACTATCTCCAAGAAAAAAATATGGCATTTTAACATTACTTTCAGGAAGATTTGTAATCCCTTTGGGAAGATTTAATGTTTTTTCTTGCAGTGCCAAATGAATGTTAGAAGAAGTAAAAATACCACCATCGCTATTGCCACCATACGAGCCAATATCAACTAGTGTAAACATATATTTGTAATCACATGCAGCCATCAACACAATGCTATGTGTCTTTTTGTAGTTGTAAAATAAGCTCCCGGAATTTGGCGGAGCTTGTATCTCCACATGCTTTCCGTCGAAAGCCCCAACACAGTGAGGGAAATTCCAATTTTCCAGAAAACCAGTACAAATATTTTTCCATTCTTCTTCTGTTGGTAAACGAAGGTAAATCAATTGTAATACCTTGACTATGACTGAACAAGTTTCATGAATAATGTTCCGTACGGTTGACTCTCCACATCTAAAAGCCAATGCAATGGACAATATTTGGTCTCCAGTTGCTAAGAATCTACAAAAAATAATTAAAATATATGAATATTATAAAACAAGATATTACCATAAAATATGTGCAAAAATAATATCATGCTACATTTGTTTTATTCTTATATTTAATACTGCATGACAAAATAAATAAGTACCTCAGAGTAATGGCCAATCGTTGTTCTGGACTAAAAGCTCTTTTGTTTGCTTTCGTCAAAAAAGGCTTTGTCATATTTAATAAAAAGTGGAAAGTTTCCTTTGTCATTCGTACGTATCGAAAAAACATATCAGGATCATCATATTTTAATTCGTGAAATAGATGTTCATAATCACCATACCAAGGACGTTCTAAATAGATAGGTCTCACCCACCATCTCCGATTTAACCATCTTTTTTTCCTCTTTTTTAATAATGCTAATAAGCACAAATAAAAAAGAGACAAAATTAAAAAATCTTCATTATCCATGTATGATCCTGTCTCATTATGTGTAAGAGAGAACAGACCTAAAAATGAAAAAATATAAATATATATTTAATTAAATTACGATGTAAATACATATTTAGTAGAACATATTTAATGAAACATATTTATATAGTGTGTTTTTATTAAAATAAATTTAATTGCTTTATTTAAAAAATATTTACCTTTAAATATAATTCCAGACAAAATATTTTACTCTTTACGCCACAAAATATCACTTTTCATACGATTTTGCACATTCCGTGTCGTAACTTTGAGGTTAAAACTTTATGTCTTATGCACAAGCTTGTGCGTTGCTGTGTATTACGTTATGGCTTATGCTTTATGCATAATGCATTATGCAAAAGTGTGTGCTGCGGCCTTTAACATGCATGACAACGGATAGGTAAATATTGACGAAAACATGAATATTGACCTAAAAGCGCAACGGATTGCTTCATCATTAGAAAATGAAGAAAGTGAAGATGAAGTAGAACATGTCATGCAATTAATGGAAAAAAGAAAGAAGATTGGAAAATTATGTTGAAAACGTTGTGTTTGCTTATAATAATCAACAGTTTAAGTCACATTTCAGGTTATTTAAAAATTTTGTGAATTGTACATTTTCTATTACATAAATTATGCACAACACACACACACACACACACACACACACACAATCTCAATTGTTTTGTATGCATTTATAAATTTGTTAAGGTTTATTTGTCTTGTGTTTTTATTTTATGATGCAGAATATCTAGAGGCACATTCGAGTATGTACTTGGTATTATTGCCCTAAAATTAAAAAAACACGTATAGGGCTGCCAATGATTTCTCCTGAAAAGCAATTTTTAATTGCAATATGGCGCATGGCAACTCCTGATTCTTATAGGTAAATGTTGTTCATAAAATTAATATTTTTGAGTATTTATATTAAAGTAGTTTTTGTCTACAGTCGCCAATTTGTCTTTTAGATCCATATGTGAAAAATTTGACGTCGGTCGAGCTACTGCTCTCAGTGCTACACGAAGAGTTATAAAAGCATCATTATATGATTTAGCACCAAATATCATCAAATGGCTATCAGGCAATAATATCAATGAAGTTTGGACTGAATTCGAAGCTGTTAGGTTGGTTTCTCAAAAGTTATCGGTGCTATAGACGGCACTCACATTAATATTCCAGCTCCTCGTATTTACCCAGCATCATATGTGAATCGTAAAGGACATCATTCCATTCAACTGTAGGTATGTCATGTTTGTTGCGACATGCAAATATTACTACTTATTACAAATTTAAACAAATGTAAGTTTTATCTGCATTAAAATATAATGATTAATGTAAGTTTTTCTGATTTTCAGGCAGTGTGTAATCATAAAACACACTTTCTTCATTGTTTCGCAGGTCATCCAGGATCTGTTCATGACCAACGAGTTTTCCGTTTATCAGAATTGCAAGAATGGTTAGGAAATCCAGAAAAATTTCCGGATGATTATCACATTCTCGGAGATGCTGCGTATAAATTACATCAAAATCTCATTGTTCCTTATCGTGACAATGGGCATCTCACTCCTAGACAAAAAAATTTTAATTTCTGTCATTCCTCTGCCAGAGTAGCGATAGAAAGGGCCTTTGGATTTATGAAGACAAGTTTTCGTAGTCTACGGACTGTTCTTGCAATGGATAGAGTTGATTTGATCCCAATGTTTATAATAGCATGTTGTGTCATGCATAATATTTGTTTGTTAAGAGGGGATGAAATTGAGCTTAATGAAATAAATGAAACAAAAAACAATAATCTGCATCAAAATGTTGCATCATTCGAACAAGCAGGTGTTGCTAAAAGAAATTTAATATGTGAAAGACTTCCTATGCGATGCGTTTAGAAAATAAGTGCAACTTTGTGATAAATGGTTTATATACAGATAATTATAAATGTATGTAGCGGTTATGAATTGTTTTGGAAATAATTATTCTATTAAATGTTTATAAAATATATTTATTTACTTCTTCGTTCTAGTATTTACAGGAATAAAGATATTGTATCTTATTAGCTACTTTCTATAACAGAAATAAAAATATTATTTTATTTTTCATAACAAATAAAAATACCTAATCTTTTATTATAAGTCTTATTTCACTTATTTTACTTTTCATAACAAATATATCTTAACTTTTTTCATAAAAATAAGAGTCATATTTTACTTATCTTACTTTTTGTAACAAACATTAAATTTTTTTATTAGAACAACATTTTATTTGTCTTATCTGTTTCATTATAAAAATAAAATTATTTGCTTATTTTTCATTACAGAACACAAACATTACATTACTTTTCATCACAGAAATAAAATTATCTTACTTTTAATCATTTAATAAAAATAAAGATATTATCTTAAGATCTTATCTTATTTTAATTTTCATAAAAAAATATCTTTTTTTATCAAAAAAGCATCTTGCATTTTTAAAGTACTCATTTCTATCACAGCATTGATTCCTTACATCACAGAATTAACTTCATAGTGTGCTTCCATTTTTCTACTAACAAAATCAAATTCATTGTATAAAATTTAATTTTAGAACAATCAGTCCGAAAGTAAAAATTAATAATTTAAGAGAACCTTACTTGCAATTTATCAATTGCTTATTTAAAGCTTTTAATACTCGCTGATCCATTGTTTGTTGATGACGCCTTGATTTATTTTCTTCAGTCATTTTTCGACCATCTTCAGCCATCTTTCGACTTTTTAATATAACTTCCGCAATTTCAGTATTTTTTCTTTTGCGTGAGTTTAAAGAGCCAACAGCGGTGTCATAATTATCGAGCGAAGAGGCGTCGCTTTCACTTTCTGTACAAGCTCGATTTGTGGATGAAGCCAGAGCAACGGGATTCATAAACGGTTTCTCTCCTAATAAAGATTCCATCATCTCAGTGTAAAGCCAAGATGGTGGATTATTGCCTGATTTGGAATTATGGTCTTTGATGGATTTGAATGTTCTCTTCATGCTATTAAATTTGCTTTGGCACTGCGGACCAGTAACATTGTGTCCATGGTTACAAAGAATATCACTTATTGCATTCCACACTCGTTTTTGCGACATCTTGCCTGTAAAAAAAACAATAAATCTGTGAGAAAGCTAAAGATCATGCACAAATCATTATAACAAATAATCTAATATAATTTTCTTATCTGATATAACATCTTCTTCTCGCTTTCTATATTCCTCAATGAGGAGGAGAATGGCCCGGTGTGACCATTTAAAAGCTGAATCTTCTGATTCAGGAGTTTCGGCATCAGGAGCATTTCCTAACTGAGCAACTCCTGTTGATGTCATTGAGACTATGGATGCCAAATTTGATGGTTCTGGTTCCCTTTTGCTTTTTTTTAATGAAGACAAAATTTTATAAGCAAAAACACTATCTAAAAAATGTAAAAAAATGAAAGTATTAGTGAAAAAATAGAAACACAATGTATTTTATAAGACTGTACTTGCATCACTCTTATTTTATACTAGTATACAACATTGCGCGCGCTTCGCGCGCGCCATTTATTTCCTTCTACTTTACCATATAATTAAAAAAATGTATATATAATTATATATATTTAAATATACAAATAACTAATATATATACATATATATATATATATACATATATATACATATATATATATATATATAATACTAATGTTACATTATTTATATATACATATGATTGTAATTACATTCTATTTACATGCATCTTGATATGCATGTAAATTCATCTACGATATATTTTTGTTTTTAAATTAGTTTTTTGTTTATTGATTAAACATCAAATCGTGAGCGGATAAAAGACCAAACGTCGATTAAATTTGAGATCTAATACGACATAATACGGCTTTGATAAAGGTTTGTAAGAAAACTTAGTATTTTTAAATATCTTTATTCATTTACTCATTAATGTTTCTTATCATTCTTTCATTTTCGCGCTCGGTCTTTTGCTGTTTAGCTCTATTACTTTTGAAATTGAATTCTATCGTTTCATTTACTTCTCATTTTATCGTTTAAATTATTTCTATCTTTTCTATTCTATCCATTTCTAGCTTTCCTATTTTATCAATTCTTTGTTCTGTTAAATTTTGTTAATTTATTATATACATTTATTATATACATAATTCATTTTCATAATATAGTAATATTTTATAAATACATTTTACGTATTAATATTTTTTGTTTATATTTATATATATATATATATTAACGATTGCATTGTTGCATATTTTTAATAATAATAATAATAAATAATAGGAATAATAATAACAATATCAATAATAACAATAAATTACAATTTTTCCTTGCAGAACATACTGAAAAATGACCGAAAAATATAGTTCTAATGAAAATTTAAATGAATTCAATGAATCCATCGAAAATGAGAATCCAGTAAATTTATTTTCTACAAATGATGCAATAGATACTATTAAAGTTTTCGACTCAACTGTGTAAGTCTAATATAAATTTAATAAAATAAAATATAAAAATAATATATAAATAAAATAAAATTTACTAAAATATATGGTAAAATTATCTTTTAATTTTCTTACTTTCATATGCATTTATTTATTATTTTTTGTTTTTTTAGTTTAATATTTTTCGATTTTTATAATAAAAATTATATAAAGTTATACGTAAAACTTCATAATATATGTCAGTTTTACAGTCTTCATTTCGAAATCTTAATCTTCCCGGCAAAATTATTTTTTTAATAATTTAAAAAAATTATTTTAAAAATAAATTTATGATAAAATTTAAATTTCATTTTTCTTTAATATATAATATTGTTCATTTGATACATAATCATTGATTATTTTATTAGACGTATAGTGAAATAATTGGTTATGTCTCTATAATTGGTTTTTTTTTAGATTTTATTTTAATTCTTTTTTCTTTTTCTTATTATCTTTTCTAAGAAATAAATTGAATATTTAAATAAATTAATTTAAGAAAATTATTAATGTCTTTATAATATTTTTACATTGCATTTAGTGACATTTTTATGCATAATAATTTCAATAATATAGAGATTATAACTTAAATAAAATATAGATTTAACAAATCATAACATTTTTAACAGATTTAGAAACAGTTTTTCTATTTTATTAAAAGAATATATTATTTTCAATTTATCAAATATATTTTAGAGTATATTGTCTAGTTGTCTGAAATATTTTTACAATCCTTTCCTGAAATATTTTCAAATCCTTTTTATATTTATGTTTTCTAGTTTAACTTTTCTTTAAATTTCATTTTAAATTTGTTATTTGTAAAAAATACAATTTTTATATTTATTTTTTATAACTGTGAAATTAATTTTCAATTTTAAAAATTATTATACATTATTCGTATTTTTCGAAAAACTAAATTCAAATAAAATCATGAATAATTTAAAAATAAGAAACTATATAAATAAATAATATAT